TTAGTTTCTAAAGATGAGAAACATTTAAGCAAATGTAATGCAAACAAATGGGCCCAAACTAGCAAAAGCTGACCCTGTAACATGATAGATGCAACAAAACTCAGCATCAGCCTCCATTTTACAGTGTTTTGCCATGTTTTCAGGTACTTATTCTCCTGATTTGAAAGAATAAGCAAGATTTTGCAGGATATTTGAGCTATAACTGTTTGTTTTAACCTTCAAAACAAGTGTGTTTGTGTCTTTCGTGAACCTTTTCAGTAGTGTTTTGTGTAGTCATTTAGCGAGTCATTTCCCGAACCTGAAGATTATTAAAAACTTTTAAAGAATGAAATGAGCTTTGTGTTAGAATGACCTGATATGTGAGAGATAATGAGTTTTAAAATAGTATTTTCCTCTCTAAGGTAAAAATTAAGTAAATCAGATTACTGAAAAATATGTTTTAGAATATTTGCATAAAAATTGTACTATTCAACAAAATTATACTTTCCTACCTATACTTAAATGTTTTTAAAATGGTAAAGTAGTGTGTGAAGCTTTACTTTTCTATTGCAAATCATAGTCTTAAGTGTCAGGATAGTAGTATGAATAAGAGCATAAGGATGTACTGCCACCTTCATTTAAGCTGAACAAATTGTCAGCTTCATTAGAAGTAATTTTATGATTATTGACTTCAACAGATTTTCTTCTTCTTTAAGGATGTCAATGAAACCAAATTTTAATCTTAAAAAACATCACTAAAAAAAAAGAGTTGGTGGACAAGATGAAAGTAGTGACAAAGATTATTTAAATTTCATTTTGGGGGAAGAAAACTAGCATAAAAACCTGTTTTCTGCCCTGTCTTCATTTTTAGTTCGTCACTGAAATGTGCTCTTCTGTCTAATGCCGATCCAGGTGATGGTAGTTCCCTCTTGCTGTGAATAGTTTCAGTGTTATGTGATATTATGCATAGCAGGTATCCTCTCCAACAATTGTTTTCTCCTCTCTGAAAGTGTAAAATGCTTAGTTATTCCCAAATGAGGGTCACTTCTGATCAAGGTGATAATCAGTTTGTCAAGGTTTGGAAAGTTCTCCCAGAATTCTGTTGCTTTCACCAGAAAACTGCTGTACCCAGACATTGTTACTGGAATGGTTGGATGGCCAATTTATTTGCTACAAAAGCACCAGTGGTTGCTTTTGAAAAGACCTCTGCGTTTTGGAAAACAAATATGCTTTGGATACAAAATGGCAGTTTATAAGGAAGACTACTCTATGATCCTGGAGCATTCTGTCCTGGGGAGATTTTCTTGACACAGGATAGTGTTGATATGCCCAAAAGAAACAGAATTTTTATTTTGTGAAATAGACAATTTGCTGATGTGTTTTATGCAATTTGAATTGTATCCATTTTTCTTCCTTGCTGGAATTCATTGTTAGGTGGCTTCTTCTTAAAAGTACCGGGGTGGAAAGTAGCTCTAAAATTGCAAAAAGAAATGTAAAAACAAAGTAGCAAAATCTTTCTTCTAAAGTGATGCAGCAAGTAAATAATCCTGCAGCTGTTAGAGCTTTAATTAAGTAGGTACACATTGTAGAATAGTTCTTTTGAAGTAACTTCCTAATCTTGGTTTCCTTAATTAATCAGAATTTGGGACCCTGAATATTATATTGGCTTTTTCTTTTCCCAAGTGCAGTACTCCCTTCTGCTGCAAACGTACAGGGAAATGTGCACCCACAGCCCCAATTAAAAGGAGAAAAATAAAATATACAAAAAAAAGAAGTTTAATACATTTAAAGGTCAGAATATTTTGTGACATGTATGGAATACACTCTTTCTGAATCAAATTCTCTAGTTTATGGTCAAGCAGCTCATTTGGTTTATAGAAATCAGTGTACAGAAATGACCTTATCACTGTAAATTACTTTTTGCGTATTATAAGTATCATATGTTTATCATATGCATTGTTCAAATTTGGCACTCTCCTCCAACAATTGAGCCTAATTATGTTTGTGTTGGATAGATTAATTCAGTAATTTACTAAGAGTAAGTGGGCAGGCAAATGAGGACATTCAACGAGAGTCATCTCTGGATTGCAGGGAATGCACAAATGGATGGCCAGCTGATTGTCAGATCATGACTGTGGCTTTGCATGTATGTACTTAAATTCTGCTAAGGACTTTACAGCCAGCACAAGCTTCAGGATTCAGAATGTTCCAACTCGAATAGTGAAATCTACATTTTCTTGCATGACTACTTGGTGCTTTGCAGAATAACTTCAAATTTAATAAGCTAAATGGTTTAAGAACAATTTTACTAGTGAAGATAAAAAGGGTTCCCCTATTCATTCTCAAGTTATGAAATATCTGCACAGTAGTGCACATGTCACCAACTTACTGGCCTGCTTGCTTATGTATTTATTTCTCTCCTTCCCTTTTCATAAAGCTAGATATGGCCATTCTAGTCAGTGTTGGATTTCAGTTTTTATTACTAATTCTTGCGGGGATTTTTTCTGCATATCCAGTTTATCAGTCTTTGCACATCCGCAGATGCTGCAAACATTTGAGTATCTTAGATATCTGCCACAGGAAAGTGAGGCTGTACTGTGGATGTTGAATATTTCATGTATTCATATAAGTGTACGCTAATGAATCCACTCAGGATTTTTCTCTTACATTTAAGTTGATCCAGAATGTAATGAGCACCCATTTCTTGAAGATCTGAAGAAAAGGAAAGGTTAGGAAGAAATTAGGGAGTTCAGAGGAAGGGCGACACAGGTGATGAGACAGAGACTATTTGAGAACAGACTTTATTTTTTGTTCTTTTTACCTACCACACTGATCTGTGTTGGCAGTTTTCTTCTCAGACACAAGTGAAACAAGACAGGTGAATAAATAGGGTTGCCGTGTTCAGTTAACATTGTGTATCTCAGAAACAAGACCAAGCAGAAGGTGCAGTCTGAAAGTGATGGGGTCCTTAGAGTCAAGATAAACTTTTGTGCTTTTCAGTGTTTAGATAAAGAAATATATTCTGTACTGTTAAAAAACACATTTGGGTTTTATTTTCAAAATGTTGGTAAAACAAATGAGGTAGAACATAGTCATATTACCTAAGATTTTTGAAAGAATTGAATTCTTTCATGCTGTTCATTTCCTCTCTGACTGATGGATTTGTGGTCTGTTTATTGCCAGGTGACATGTTACGATAAGGCCAAGTTCTTTCCTTTTTACTACTTCAGGAGCTGTCTTTTTACCTTTTCTAATGACATTGTTATTTTCCTTTTATTTTATGTTAAGTCATTAATATTTGTAGTGTTTTAAATACGTTTGGCATAAGTGAAACTTTCAGTTCTGGGCAGATAGGATTCAAAAAGGTAATTCATACAACTGACCAGAGACATGACTTTTACCTGGGCGGGTGCAACAGCATTTACCAAATTTTGTGAATGAGGTAAATGTTTCAGTTCCCGAATAAAATGAGTGATTGCAGCATTAAAGTTGAGGTACAGGTAGTTTAAAGGTTAATGTAAATGGTAAAAACCTGCTTTGATACCTGTGAAAGGCATTACTTGGTTTGAATTTGCACCTAAGACATCTCACTTGAACTTTTCATGAAGACTCTAGTAGATAAAAGTACTATCTTTAAAAGCTACACAGACACTTGTTCTTCCTCTGTTATTTCCTTTAACGTTTCAACACTAGTTCTTTCCGAATTGCTAATATATGTCAACAGTACAACATCTCCATATGTATCTCCAAAATACCATTAGAGGGACATTGCTTCTCCCAATCAGACATTATCCCTATGGATTGAAGGGCGTCAGTAGCTGGCGTTCAGCGCTCTGATCTTCTTGAACCAGGCTCTTCACCAGCTGAGGAAGTTTACTCCCAGTAAGAGTGCAGAATCAGTTCCAACCCTGAAGTCCTCAACTCCTCCAGCTCTTCAATGTCTGCTTACTGGATACTTTAGGCTCTCGAGCCATTAGCTTTAGAGAAAATTATGAAAGATTAAGAAGCCCCTTATACAAAAACTTTATCTGAATTTTTTTTAATCCACACTGCAGTTATATTTTGATGGTTTAGTTTTTTTCCACTGTACTAGTATTGCTGGTTTTCCATTCCTTTCTCTTTCACTGAATTTCCTTTTCCTCACATAACCAGTCACTATATACACCCATGTCATGGTTTAACCCCAGCTGGCAGCTGAGGTCTTCACACCCACTTGCTCACTCACCCCCTCAGTGGGATGGAGGAGAGAATTGAAAAGAAGTAAAACCTTGTGTGTGGAGATAAGAACAGTTTATTAATTGAAGCTAAGTAAAATATAATAGTAATGTAAGGATACTATTGATGATTATAACAATAATTGTAATTAAAAGGAGAGAGAGAGAGAAATAAAACCCAAGAAAACAAGTGATGCACATTACAACTACTCACCACTCGCTGACCAATGCCCAGTCAGTTCCTGAGCAGCAATTCTCCCCTCACAACCAACTCCCTCCTGTTTATATGCTGACCATGACACTGTGGTATGGAATATGCCTTTGTCCAGTTTGGGTCAGTTGTGCTGGCTGTGTGCCCTCCTGGCTTCTTGTGCACCCATTTCTTGGCAGAGCATGGGAAACCGAGAAGTCCTTCACTTGGGTAAACACTACTTAGCAACAACCAAAGCATCAGTTTGTTACTAGCATTATTCTCATACTAAATCCAAAACACAACACTCTACCAGCTGTACCAAAACAAAATTAACTCAATTCCAACCAAAACCAAGACAACAAGACAACCCACAACACAATGTTTTGCCAGACTTTAGTACTTGTGATGAATGTCACACAAGCAATCACTTGACTTCTCAAAAAAATCCTGTGGTTTTGAAAAGCTTTCCATGTTAAGTGGTACCACATGGAAAATAGAACTTTTTAATGTGTAAAAAAGATTAGAGTGTTAGCTTCTCAGTGCAACCTTCAGTGAAGAGTTCTATATATGTGTTTATGCAATACAATAATTTGTGTATTTTCTGTTTTATTCAGGTCATTGCCATTGTTATGGATATGTTTACAGACGTGGATATTTTTAGAGAAATCGTGGAGGCATCTGCTAGAGGGATAGCAGTGTATCTTCTGCTTGATGAGTCAAACTTCAGTCACTTTCTGAAGATGACAGAGAAACAAGGCTGTCAAGTTCAGAGGCTCAGGGTAAGGCTTCCTGTTGCATGAACATTCACTTTATTCCTCCGCAGCCTACTGAAAAGTGACTGTTTTGAAAAAGTGATTATCACATACTGATTTTTCAAATCACAATCAGATATAAATAGGTAAGCTCGCAGCAGAACTTTCTCTATGGATATTTTTTCTTTAGAAAGCATATTTTTCATATTATTTATAAAATAATTTTCCATTATTGTGTATTTAGAAATACTGCATGTTTGAAAAACTAAGCCTTTTTTTCTTTCTCTTAAAGTTACCTGCAAATAAAGTCATAAAACTTATATAAATTATTAAATTGTGTAGTTCATTTTATGATCTTTTTCTTTAAGGTATGCATTAAAATATTTTAAGAGGCCCAAGATTCTATTTTATTAGTGTTTTCCTGAAAATCCGTATTATCATATCTGTGAACTATGTCTTAGAGAGTATTACTTTTAGACATTAAATATGTAATTTTGTCCTTTGAGAGATAACAACGTGACTAACATTTACCTTTTCACAAGATGTCCTACACTGCCCTAATATTTAACAGGGATTAGAATACAAACCATGAGCTGCACTGAACTGACATAAATGCTTCATAAATACTTCTAGATTTACTCTACTGCTAATAGTACTGAAAAAGTTCCAAAGATGTTGTCAGTCCCTTTGCAAAGCTCTGAGCACTGCCTTGGCTGAACTTCTGTATAGTTCCATTTGCATTTCCTTGCTTCTGTAACTAATCAAGCCATGTTCATGCCAGGCAAAAATATTATAAAAACTCCTCTTAGCAGCACTTATTTTAAGAACCCAGTCCAAAAATCAGATAGAGTTGTGGTGTATTTGTAAGGATAAAGAGGACTTTTTAGTAGGGAGTAAACCTGTATTTTATACTAATTTTTACTCTGAAGTGTTGACTTTAGTCCTTAAAAGTATCTCCACTCAGAAAAACAGTGCTTGTTTCTTGTGTATGAGTGTGTGGGATTGCTCTATGGTGGCATAATGTACAGAGCTGTGGGAACTTCTGGAAAGAAATACCAAAACCATGTTGTCGTTCTATAAACACTAGTCGTGATTGCCTTATGAAATCAGTATTTGTAACTTGAGATACCACCATTTACTGATTACTTGGGTTAATTATGCTGTAGAGGTTGCAAAGTATGGTCTATGTCTATATATGGAATGGGTTTCATCCTTCCAAAACAAAAGAAATTACAACCATGCATTTCAAGTGTTATCTCAAAAATGTCATAGTATGCATTTTCAAATTAATTCCATGAATTTGTATGTACAGCTTTTTCAAAAATTTAACTGGTTTTGAGTGGATTCGAGATTGTCTTTTTACTACAACTTTGTAGACCTATAGGTATTTATGCTGTTGTTGAAAGAATTAATATGCATACATTAGAGTGTATTTTATATGGATTAGTCTGGAATCGAGAGGTTTGGACTTGGCCTCTTCAGTGACATTGTATTTTATATGTTCCTTTTTTGTAATAGTGGGAGAAATAAAATACATCTTCACTCTGCAAGGTTTACTTAGAATGCTTTGAGTTTTATCAGAAAATAAAACATATATGCCAAAGAGCTAAGCAGTAATCCTGTTGTGTGCTGCGTTTCCAGTTTAGCTTGTAATAAAGCTGTTCAAATTAATGGTCTTCCCATCCAAGTGCTACTCCCAGTGACTGTTGCTCTGAGAATAGCAGCTTACTACTCCTGCAATAATTGCTACACCTTTCTAGAGGATAAAGAAAAACTGGAGATGACTATAAAGAACAGTCAGTACTTCAGAGATGTTTTCTCCCTTTCCCTTTTTCCCATCACCTTAAGGTTGAGTAAAAAAAGGTTCAGAAAAAAAAATAACATCTTCAACTTTTTGTACTCTTTGCTTTTGGTCTTCCCCTTCTGTTTAGTGAAGGCAAGAGGATAGAGTTGTATGGATCTATTTGTTTTCCTGAAGATGGAGCACCAGCAGCATCAGTCTTATTATTCTCTAGCATGATTTGGTTCAGTCTTAAGAGTATGGCTGATGCTTCTTAGGCTATGCACTCATGATGAGTTTTTGTAAAGCTTTTCAGACCCTACACCTTCTCTCTCTCTTTTTCTCTCCCTCTGAATCAGTAAAAAATGAGATGCAATGATGAGCGAAACTGTATTTTTTAATTCATATTTGCAATTAAGTAGTCTTTTATATGGAAAAAAAGAGGATTTTATTCATAAATCTGCATTAAATGTCTGCACAGCCGGTTTTTCTCATCTGTAGTCTGACTTCGTATCAGGGCATGTTTCCCTCTTTATTGAAAGATGTAATTGAAGAAATGAATAGACTATATTTTCTGTAATTATTTTGTGAATTCCATATAGGAGAATGTGAAATCAGAGATTAACTAGGAGCTTTTTTAGTCTTTCCTATTGCATGTTTTCTTGTGGGTTGTTTACTTAATGTTTGCCTTAACATCACCAGTGGAACTCAGATAAATAATCATCTTCCTGTACTTTCCCATTTCTCTTTCCCTGGTTTCATTTGTTTCCTGACTGTGTTATATTTATCCTTAGTAATTACTGCATTTCTTTTTTTTTTTTTTTCTCTACCTAATATTCTTTTGATTAACTTTGTCACTGCTCTGACTTGTTCGGTCAGCAATTCCTTTGCATTGAAGATGAAGAGTTGTTACAGATTCAGACTTTTTTTCAGGTGATTTTTCAGAAACTAATAACTAAATTTTTTGCGGGTTTTTTTTTTTTCTGCTACTGACAGGTGCTACAGCAAACTGTGAAACAGATTTGAACTGCAAGACAACAATCCCCAGAGCCATCAGAATGCTCAGTGTATTTTGGTTTAGAAATGAAAAACCAATGTTGTAGGCAGTGGTGTTGCCTACAACAAGAAGTCAACCTAGCTCCTGACAAAGATCTGACACAGATCTTTGTGTTGTATTTGATATGAAGTGAGATGTGGCGGAGGTTCTATGCTCTTCAGAAACCTATTTTTACTCCTCTGTCAATATTGAAAAATCATTTTGCTACAGAAGAGTGTTGAAAGCAATTCAGCAGGAACCATTTATCTCCTGATACTCCTCTCAGTATTTTTAATGAATTGCAGGAAAGAGAAAATACAACCACTGAAGAATTGATTTTACTTTCCTTTTGTGAAGTCTACTTCCAGATATGTATGTTTAAATGCATAGTGGGAGCTACTCTCGAGACCTACTTGCAGCCTGTTTTTTCTCACCAGTGTTATCAAAATTATCAAAAATTTTCCAGTACTTCCACATCTGAGTCAAATTTGGTTACTGAATAGTCATGCACAGCATGATGTTGTATCTGTGAGCAAGCTTCTGTGGCAAGGGCCAGACTCCAGTCAAGTCTTGAGTGGTTATTGAATCAGATTCAGACAGAAGCAAACTTGAAAACTACTTAGCATTTGTACAGCACATATATATTTTTTTATATATATATGGTTAATAGCTCCTTTTTAAACTGGCAGCTTTCACAAGTGGAGTCCCCTGGGGATCAATACGGGGTCCAATGCTGTTTAATATCCTCATAAGTGATCTGGAAGATGGGATTTAGTATACAGTGACAAAGTTTACTAGTGATACCAAACTGAGTGGATACGTGGACACTTCAGAAGGGAGATCCACCCTGCAGGAGGACCTGGATTAGCTTTAAGGGTGGGCTAACAAGAACCTTATGAAGTTCGACAAGGACAAGGGTGAGGTCTTGCACCTGGGAGAACATAATCCAGGAGTGCTGCACAGGCTGGGATAGACCCAGCTGGGGAGTGGCTCTGTGGAAAGGCACCTGGGGCTCCATGGACAACAAGCTTAATGTGAGCGAGCAGTGTGCTGCTCCAGCAAAGAAAGCGAGCAGGATGCAGGGCTGCATCAATGAGGGCATCACCAGCAGAGATAAAAAACTCAGTATCCCACTCTACCCAACAACTGTCAGGCCACACTTGGAATACTGTGTTCAGTTTTGGTCCCCACTACTTAAAAAAGATGTGGACAGGGTGGAGAGGGTCTAGAGAAGGGCTACAGAGATTATCCAAAGTCTGGGAAGCTGCCAGATGAGGAAAGGCTGAGAGAATTTAGTTATTTCAGCCTTAAGAAGAGAAGGGGAGACCTTATCACCATTTTCCAGTATGGAAAGGCTAGCTGCAAAGAGGATGGAGGCTCCCTTTTTACAAGGAGTCACATGGAAAAGACGAGGGGTGTTGGGAACAAGTTACTCCTGGAGAGATTCTGGTTGAACACAAGAAAATTTTGTCACAATGAGAATAGTCAACCATTGAAATAATCTCCTTAGGGTAGTGGTGGATTTCTCAGCTGGACACTTCTAAGATTCAACTGGACAGATGTTGGGCCGTCTTGTCCAAACTGTGCTTTTGCCAAGAAAGGTTGGATCAGATGATCCTTGAGATATTCTGTGATTCTGTGACCTATTATATCTTAGAGGAGAGAGGCCCAGGATAATAAATAATATTAGCAATGAGGAACAATATGAGAAATTTGACTATTTTTCCTTTAAAACAGTTAGCTAAATATTAGGTAGACATGCATTTTCTTCTTTGTGCATATTCTTGACAGCAAGTACAGGGTCAGTAATTGAACACTGACAAAAACAGTGTCTACAAATAAAAAGTGCTGAAATGAAATAAGTACTCACTGTACTTATTTGTCATATTGGAGAGCTTTTACTGATGAAAATAAATGTATAATGGGGGTTATGTGGCTCTCTCTGAGATTATAGTGCACAGTTGTACATAAAAGGAGATTAGAGCTTGTTTCCCATTCATTGTTTAGGTTCCTTTTAACTGGATAGACCTGATGGCTATCCTGAAACTGCAGCCACTGGATGTTTTAAATATTCCTGAGTGTCCTACAACCTCCTTTTGGATGAGAGAGAACTTTTTGTTTGGCTTCAAAAACATCCATTAATAAATAAATTACTGCTTTACCCACAATTATGCAGTGGTGAGTGACACACTAGAGTAAGCAGGAGAGTCCTATAGCCTGAAGATGAAACCAGATAGGAAGGTGAAGCCCAGCATTTCATACAAAATGGGGCTTGTAATTCAGTATGTGTATATTTACTGCTTCTGATCCTAAGTGGAATGCATTGTAACAATATATCCTCAAAGATGGTCTGTATTTTATGTGATTATTCAAAGTATGCATTCCTGGCACATAATTAGAGGGTTTGAAGCTGGTGAAGAATGCCAGATGAACTGTGGAGGAAAAGGAAGTGTTATGTGAGGAAGGTGAGCATGATCTCTGCCACGTGTCATGTTCTCATCTGGTACCTACCAAGGGAGGAAAAGAGTGCAGGATAGAGGCATCAGGATAGAAAAGCTGCAGGAGGAAAAATACTGAAGAGGAGGAAAGCAAAAAGGAGAACAGAGAAAGCGTTGACTACAATTTTAAAAAAAAAAACAACAACAAGAATTTAATGTAAATTTTACTCCTTTTTTAGATATGCCTACTTAAAATTATATTTCAATTTATGAGTACCTAAGGCAAAACTTTATTTTTTTTTTATATAGTATGGTAATTTGCAATCCATTAGCCTTGGTTGTGCCTCCAGCATTCCAGATTCCCAAGTGATATCCTGTCCAATACCTATCAGACCTTGTCTCAGTAAGATTTGATGTGTTCAATGGACATGTCTTTAGGCCGATGTTGTTATGGTTATTTGAAAACATATAAGTTGACTCTCAAGTTACCTTTTCAAACTATAATGTCATAAATATGATTCAATATAATTAAATATAAATCTGACATACACATACAATTATGTGGTATATAGAATTGGGTAAACCAAAGTAAATGCAAATTTCATTACTAACTAATGGAATTATTTTATAGTAAATAAGGCTTTACTATTATGGTTATCTTTAGAATGGGTAAATTTCAATATTTTTTTATCTTCTTTTTCAGGAATTACTTTTTCCACAGTATTTATCTTTAGAATAAAAGTTTTTTATTTAATTAGTTAAAGATTGAATAGCTGCTGGAGAAAAAACTTATTTTCTTCAATGGGCTTGTCTTGTTCAAAGTTAACAAAAACACTTTGGTAAAGCAGGAAACTGATTTTCGTTGGTAAGAAAACTTCTAATTGGAATGCAGAAAACTTGAAAGACACAATGCTAGATTGTCAGAAGTGATTAGCAGGTAGAGATGCAAACTTACATTCACCTCCCATTCAGTAGTGCAAATTGAGTTGTTACTTATTTGTTGTAGCTGTTTCTGAAAATAGACCTGAGCATTCACCACCTGTATTTTCACTTCTAAAATTTTTACCTTTTAAAATTTTACAGCACTTCTACATCCTACTTCTTTTATTTATCTAATTAAGAGATAAGCTTTGTTTTTAGCACATTTGCAAGACATTTAGTTCACAAACAAAAGTAATTCTTAAATGCTGTCTTTGTACATTTTAACTGAGTTGCATTTGTGTTGAAACACAGCTTGACAAAAATGCTAAGTGAAAGGTCACCAAATGGTGAATAAAATTTAAAGAACTTGAATAGCTTGAGTTAAACCATAAGATAGCAACACTGAAATATATACTGATTTAGAAAGTGTTATCTGGAAATGTGCTTTCATTTCATGGATATTGTCTCCTAATTTTTTGAATTTTCTGTTTGGAAAGATAAAATTCATTGGATTGTAGTAGACATTATTCTTAAAACTCCTACAACCTTTATCTACTAGAACTTCTTATGTTTTAGGTAAATGTACAAGTGCTCCCATAGACAATGAAGTCTTACGTAACTGTATTGCAAACTCAGTCATACTTTGTAGACTGGAATCTTAAATGCTCTTTTAAGTCTAAACATCTCTACAGCTTCCTGAGGATGGGAAGTGGAGAAGGAGATGCTGATCTCTTCCTCCTGGTATCCAGTGACAAGACATGTGGGAATGGTTCAAAGTTGCACCACAGGAAGTTTAGGAAGTTGGACATCAGGAAGCATTTCTTTAAGGAGAGAGTTGTCTAACACTGGAACACGCTTCTTAGAGGGGTGGTCAATGCCCCAAGCCTGTCAGTGTTTAAGAGACGTTTGGACAATGTCCTTAATAATTTGCTTTAACCTTTGGTCAGCCCTGAATTCGTCAGGCAGTTGGACTAGATGATCGTTGCAGGCCCTTTCCATCTGAAATAGTCCTATCCTATTTATTTCATCCTCCTGATTTTGCTGAATTTACTGTGTACATGATGTTTTCCATTTGCTTCATTAACAGCCCTAATTCACCTATACCTGACCTTTACAGAGCATGTCTGCTGTGATTTGCAGCCTATCCTTGTAGCAGTCCTGCGAAGCAAGACATTCCTCTGTATTCACAAGTCTTACGTTGCACCATTTCCATATATACAGACTATGTAATAATCATATAGATTCTGTTTTCTTACTGCCAATGCTAAACTATGGATTTCACTCCCACTGGAGTACTTGTAAATTACCACAAATTAGTGTTGCTAGAAAAAAATATGGCAAGGCTAGAAACTAAAGTAAATATTGTTATCATTCACAGCTATATTCCAAGATGTTTTCATGTCTTGTGAAGCGTTTTGTGTCTCACAGCCACATGAGGTAGATGCTGTAGGTTGGTTTGCATTGAATATAAATTTTAATTTTTCTATAAGCACCTCTGTGTACTAATTTCTTTTTTTTCTACATCTCCATGAGAATTTTTTGAAAATTCTTATTAGTACAGTTCATAAGGTGTAGTAGCACTTCTTTAAATTTTTTTTTATTTCTATGGACTTAAAGAAACAAGTGACAGGAGAGAGAGAAAAAAAGAATACACTGACTTAGCTGAATCAGTTTCATCAGTAGCCTGGGATAAAAATGAACCTCATTTTTGAGATAAAGTGGAAAATTTCCCAAGTACCATTTACTGAGTTCACATGAGTAAAACATAAAGCTTAATAGAATTAAAAATTAACTGCTGCATAGAGTTTGTGCTACCTATGCATGTTGTGTTAGCATCTCTGAATTTAGATAGGGAACCTTACTGCTGGTGAAACTTTGAGGGATTCTGGCACCACGTGACACCCTTCTCAGAGTGGGGTATATGTGTTCGTAGACACAGCAGCCTTGTTCAATTAAACTAAAAGTAATCCTGGCTCTTTAGGTGTTGTCTATGATTAGCTGAGATACTTGGAAATCTTATAAATATGTACAGCAGATGATGGAAAGAATTTTTTTTACAGCTCAAAACCTCTTCCCCTTGTTGAAGACTTCTTGTGCCAGAACCTCATTTCTGGAAGTGGTGGATATGGAAAAGTGGAATTTCCTTTTCTGTGGCGTATGGAATCTCATCAGTCTTGAAGACAAAGCAGTGACTTGCCATTTTGAGTCCCTAGGCAGGAAGTTGGATCAGAGTTTACTTCCCTGCAGAGTTTATTAATATGTAATAATGTAGCTTTTCTCCTACTGTTCCTCTGAATTTCAACCCCCTACGTGCTAATATGGACTACAGTAGACCAAGTAAAGTATTTTGATTGTCTTTTTCAGAACATGAGGGTGCGGACAGTGAAAGGACAAGATTATTATTCTAAAACAGGAGCAAAATTCCATGGAAAAATGGAACAAAAATTTATTCTTGTTGACTGTAAGAAAGTTGTATATGGTTCCTACAGGTAAGATCAGTCACTGAAGTGTCCATAGCAAACCTGTCATCTCAGCACTACTGCTATAGCAAATTTGGTCTTTTTCCTATTTGTAAGAATTCTTGCAGGGAAGCACATGCGTTCATTTGATTATCTTTTCTGTAATTTAACAGGTTACCAAAGATACTTCTTGCTAACTAGCCTAACAGGTCCTCTCTTTGTTTTTCACAAATAAGAAATAAGGCACGTAGGTTTTGCCAAACCTGAAGACTTACTAAAAAGGGAGGAAAATCCTGATTTGTCTTATATTGCCTGAATTGTTCTTGTTTAACATTTGCTTCAGAAAAGGCTACCAGAATTATTTTATAAGCTAGCTTGGATAGTTCCTCCACATAATAATCTTCTAAAGATAACATTACAGACTGACTGTGTGGCACTTAATGGTGGTCAAATTCAGAATTGCCCAAGTCTCTCTTTATGTTTGACTTTATTCTGCAGTCCATTTTATTTCCAGTGTATGTGTGCAAAGCGTAGGCTAGAAGAATTTACAGCTTTGCAGAGCTGGAAAAAAACTATGTTTTAACTCACACATTATTAAATATTTTCCTTCTTTTCATGCTACACTTTTCTCCTTTGGCCTGTGGAATTAGTTTCTGTCAGCATAGTGTCTGGGTACCAGATCCACAGCCACTGCCTTTCACAGATTTCCACCACTGTAAGCTTTTGAAAATATGACTTTTTATTTCCTTTGAGATTCAGCCCCAAATTCAGACTGACGTGTATAAATGATAGTGGGGTAGATGACAAGTTCATAAATTAATCAGTGTAAGACAGTGCAGGGAGTAGTCTTGACATCTACACACAGTGTTAAGGTCTGTGAGAATGCAATAGTTTTTCTCATTTCATTTTGAAAAACAACACTGCTTTAAGGCCTTGTACCACAGGCAGTGGAATCATCAATTTCTGTAGAAATTAAGCTTGTTTTGTAAAATAATATAGTTATTTATAACAGGAAATATGAGTCTTTCTGAACTGTCACTTTGAAGTCAATTTAAAGTTTGGGGTTTTGTCTCAAAGATTATGTGTTATTCTTAATTGTGAAAATCAATAGAAAAAAATTTATGTGGCATGATTTCATTTAATCTCAACACACTATTACTTCCTGAAAAATACAAAAATAGCAAGAAAAAATTACAGCAGCAAGCTATTTTTGTCAATACAACAAACCTATTTTCTAATATCCAGAAAAAAAGTGCAAATAAAATAAGTCTGTTGATTTAATTTTTTTTCTAGCTTTTTTAATGAAATTAGGATTTCAAAACAGGTTTTTTCTTTGTTGTAATCTACAAATTGCATGCTTTACACACCATGATATTAGTTTTGTTGCAACATCCTTAATGTACATATTAATTTATTTTATTTCATTTTGTAGCTGTAAAATACTTACAGATACTTAGCTTTGAGCATGTGTTCCATCTTTTACAACAGAGGAAAATTTGCTTCATCAAAGCATCATTATTGCAATAAAAGAAATGTTCATATCCAATTCAATGTGCATAGTAGAAAATGTAAAATTTTTAATGATTCTGAGCTACATCTTTTTGAAAATATGTTTAGAATTAAGTACATTAAAAACTGCTGAAGCAGTCCTGTATATTTTTTCAGATGTATTTTTTTTTCACAACATAACCACACAGTAACATTCTCTGACTGAAGACTAAATATAGTGGGTATAGTTAATCCTGCCTTAGTCTTTTTAGAGGTGATTTTTTCCATTAGCTATTTGTACTTCCCTGTTCTACATTTGTGAATACTTTCTTAGAATACTTTTTATAAGGGCAGTTATAAGGGTAGTTATAGACTCATTCCTGCTCCCACTGAAAGCAGTGGAAAGTTTCCAACTGAGTTTTATTGGTATTAGATTAGACCTTCTGAGTCTAAATTACATTAATCATTACCAACATTTATTTGTTTATGTATTTAGAAAGTATTTTTACAATCCCCAGGTTTGTGCAAAAGCTTCCATAGCAAGAAGCACTAGTGTAATACTTAAACTCAAAAGAACTGCATCTAATGGTCGTTTGTTCTTCTTTCAGCTTTATGTGGTCATTTGAAAAAACCAACCTCAGTATGGTTCAAGTTATCACAGGACAGCTTGTGGAATCTTTTGATGAAGAGTTCAGGACACTGTATGCCCGTTCTTCTGTTCCTAGCTCATTTGCTCCAGAACTAGTGCGGGTAAACAGTCGCAGGACACTCTGGGATAATGATACATACCAGCACTCAGTGTCTTCTTTGGCTTCAGTTTCTAGCCAAAGAAACCTTTTTGGTCGGCAAGACAAGGTTCACAAGATAGATCCTGTTTGTTGGAAAACTCGTGGAAGATATGCAGTAAATGAAATAGATAAATATGGCTTGAGAAATCAAGCCTATAATAAGCAACCATTTCATCCAGGTTTTAATGTGCAAAATCCAATCCAGCAGTATCAACCTAGTGAAAAAAATGAGCACTGGAAGAGACATAGTTATGCTGGGGAAAAGCCAGAAAGGACACCTTACCTGTTGCTCAACAGAGCTATTAACAGAGCCAACAATCCATCAAATACTTGGAAAATGCCATCTGATAGCCTTAGTATTGTTTCCTCATTACGAGGAGGATATGCAAATAACTACAATATTCCGCAGCAAAGTTTTGCTGATCAGTTTTCACGACCGAAAGTAAATCTTGCAGAAAGAAATTCAATTGTGCGGAGGTCTTTTAACGGGACAGATAATCATATCCGCCATCTGCAGCAAAGGATGCCAACTCTTGAACACACAACAAAGTCATTCCTACGTAACTGGCGAATAAAGTCATATTTGAATGATCAAACAGATTATCCGGTAGAGTCTAATGGGTCAGCTGTGGGTGACAGATATGATAGCTATGACACAGCTGAAAATATGAAAGCTCATGCACTGTATTCTCATTCTCGCTTGCGATCGTCGTTGGTGTTTCAGCCAACTTTACCTGAACAGCAGGAAGTAAGCAGCTGTGCAAGTTCTTCAAATTCAACTATAATTGGGTCAGAGGGAAGTGCAACACCTAAAGGGACATCTAATCATGCTCCAAGTGTGGAAAATGGAACAGATAATATTTCAGAAGACCTTAGCACAAACTTCCCTCTTAAATCAGATGCACCAAAAAACCACAGAATTCATATTGCAGACAGCACAAAACCTCCCATAAATTCAAATGCAACTGGTGACACATCACTTTATTTGTACACAACACTGTGTACAGACAAACATTCAGAAAATCTGAAGAACCTTCAGAATGAAAATGTGCTCAAAAGGAGAAGTTTTCCCATGTTTAATTCAAAGTCCATATTGGACCCTGGTGCCAACAAGCATGCATCCAATTATGTTTACAGCACATTGACTAGGCATAGACTTAAGCAACCAGTTGGTCCAAAACTTCCAGAAGACATGCTGAAGAGTGCTAAAAGTTTGCACAGTGTGACCAATCACTTGCCACAGGAGGAAAAGAACCTGAAAGGAGAGCTAAAGAGCCCAACTGCTAGCAAGGCAATCTCTATGGCGGTTCTCACTGAAGTGAGCAAGGAGGAGTCTAGTAAGGATTGCACATCAAAGAAAGAAAGTAAGAGTTCCCCAAGTTTTCTAAAGAAAGGATCCCAGAAATTGCGGTCATTTCTTAATCTCACACCAGACAAGAAGGAGAACTTGTCAAAAAACAAAGGTCCTGCCTTCTACAGGATGTGTAGTAGTTCTGACACATTGGTTTCTGAAGATGAGAATCAAAAACCAAAGATTTCTGAAAATAAGACAGATTCTTCCCCAAGGAGAAAAAGAAACACATCAACAAATTCTCAAGGGAGCTTGAACAGAAGTAAAGAAGATGTCACTGGTAGCCCAACAAAGTCTCCAAAGTCTCCAAAGTCTCCAAAGTCACCAAAATCTCAAAAACCTCCATCTGATGAAAGCAATAAAATGTGTCCTCTCTTGTGCCCCCTGGAAAGTAAGTTCATCGAAACTGCAGGAGATGCATCTACCCCAAGATTTAACACAGAACAGATTCAGTATCAAGATATGAAGGAAATCTCCACAAATACTGCTTCTGAAAGTGCTCCTGTTTCTGCACTTCAAAGAGCAAGTTCGGTGACACCACAGCTGGCAAATTCAAAACCCCAACAGGAGCTGAGATCTCGTTTGAGTGAAAGGCGTGTTTATAGTCGCTTTGAGCCATTTTGTAAGATAGAAAATGCTAGCCAACCTGCAGGAAATGCAGCCAACAGCAGTTCACATCTATCAGATATCAAAAGCAAGACCTTAGGGAATAATTATGGCAGGAGTAATCACATGGCCAGCTACAACTCAACTGCTTACCATCCGTTGCAGCCTAATGAAAATAAGCTGAGAGGATTTATGCAAAAGTTTGGGAATTTCCTACACAAAAGCAAGTAAAACTTTTGCTGATTATGTTGAAATACCGCAAGACTAGCAAAGCTGGACATAATCTTAACTGGACAAAGACTAGTGGCCAACTTTTGTACAGCTTGCTTGGGTTTCCTCTTGGGTTTAGGACATTGGAATTAATGTACATATTTTTAAAAATAATTATCCTAGAATTGTTATACTTTAATCTTTACAGAAATTCTTTGTCCAGAAGTTGCCTCAAGGAAGTTGTTTATAGTGTTTTTAATGTAAGATTAATTTTATATGTTTTCATATGAAGAAAATACATTCCAGCATATTGTAAGATTAAGCATGGGGCAAAAAAGATTCAGTATGTTTTTAAACTTCAGATAATACTGTTTCCAAAGATTTGCTCTATAAAATAGGATAGCACTAGGAATAGCGAATTGTATTTTTTCAGCATTTATGTACACTTTCAAATGATAAACACAATGTTAATGCATTGTATGTTACTTATCTTTAAACTAATTTTTGAAAACCTCTTTTAGTTTTCATCTTGTTAATAATTTACCCCATAGCATCTACTGAACTGTTTGAGCAGCAGATGGATCTATCTTACTTTATTGAATTTTCCTTGTAATATGATATTTTTCTGAAGTATTTGGCATACAGATCTGAAAGTGACCTTAATCTGAGCTTTCACAGACTTGTTTACGTGGTTAAACTAGTGTGAATGTAGAATGAACGTTTAAAAACCTATTTATAAAAAAGGTGCCTTGAACATAACTTACAACTAGTTTAAATTTCAATGGGTTAATTGCATTTGTATAACATGCCAGTATTCTGTAGAGTATTCTAAAAAAAAGCTTTTTTGTTATGTTTTTCTATTTGGTGTTAAAAAAAATTGTCTATGGACTTCCATTTCTCAGGTAAGTTTTTGAGTTTCACATGCAACCACCTGTTTTAAATGTTGCCAGATATATTTGCAACTATGGCTTTAATACCTTATTTTTTAAATAAGATGAGAATTCTTAGATTAGGTGTACAAGGGAGATTACAAGCTCAATCCTGCAATGCAGCCTTATGTCAGGATGAGTATTACGGGCCATGAGCAATTAGGCAGCTTAAACTGAGATTCATAAAAGTAACTACAGCAAACAATAAGGCACCTTTGCTAAGCCAAAGAAAGTATCAGTGAAGGGGATAGTAGCAAATGTTTAACTTCAGTGAAGGTATTTAGACTCCTAACTGCAGTCTGAGGGGCACATTTTGTTTATCCGAGCCTCTGTATCATAACAAATTTCCCAATAATAGGTGACTACAGGGTAGTGCTTACAAAAAACACAGGCATGGGGTTATGTTTGGGCAGCAGCATGGAATCCACTTCTTGTCTGCAGTGTGCATCCAGGGCTTATGCCCTCGTGGATGTGGAGTTTGTTTAGAAGGACTCCATAACCATTTACCTGACAAATATTCTGTGACAGTTTTGTTCCAAATTCAGATTTTTGGGAAATTTCACTACTGAAGGCTCAGAATTCTTATACAGGGTCTTTGTGTTCCAGGAGCATGTTTTAGGAGACAATTTCACTCTTAGATCTGAAAGGTCCCACAGTGTTCTATGGAAGAGGTCTTAGCTTCGTTCTTTAGAACGAAATACCAAAAGGGCATTTCATGCATCAGCTGGGTGAAGTTCATTTGTCTTATTTGCCTGTGGCCCTAGGAAAAGATTCTGTATGTAAATCTACTTCTCACTGAGAAACTGCTCTGGTTCTTATGAAGTCACTGTAGTTATTGATTTCAGTAAAGCAGTGTCAGCTTTTTATTCAAACTGTTTCTCGGACAACTTTATTAGGCTGATGCATCATAGCAGTAACTGTTTCACTGTGGGGATAGTATTTATTTTTGAGGCTGACAGTCCCGTGTCTCGATCTTCTGCTGGAAGTTTAGGTCTCCCCTTTACCTGTGATCACAGAAGATTTTATGAATTTCTTGATGAACACTGGCAACTTTGTTCACTCCTTGATGAAACGCTGTAGTTAATATTTTTCCCAAATGAACATTTGTACTTATATATGCTATCCCAAGCAAGGTAACATTTTCAGCCCCAAGACAAGGAGTGTCTTGGTACTCCAGGCATGTTTCCAACATAGGCACAACATACTTCCACACCTATGCAACCAACAGCAATGCCCTACTGTACTTTTTAAAACTCTTAATATTTTCTAACTGGGCAGACAATTACCCAGGATAGTACCTGAAGTGACAGTGCAGGTGGTACTAAAAATGGTGAGGGTAGGTTTTAGGAGGATCTTTAGTTTTCCCTCATACTCTTACAATCTCTGACATGCGCCTGGAGGCAGAACTATATTTGAGGAGGAAATGAGGGAGGGAGAACAAGGGTCTTGGGGCAAGTTTTGAAGTGACAGTGCTTTCTATTTTGTAATAAACTTTGGGAAATCTATACTGATGCAATTTGGAAATATTTTACTGTATTTTTCAAAATAGATTGCTAATTAGAGAATGCTGAGATGGCAGGTATTTTAATTTACCAAGTCATCTATGTTTATTTATATTGCTATTTTGTACCTGCACAGAAGATTTAAGAGCCTTCAGTGAAGAGCCTGCTCATAGACTTGATAATGTAAAAAAAAAATCTCAGTGGAACTAGCTTTTTTTTTTCATTTTCAGATCTCTTTTCAAAGATCCCACATAGGAATGTTGCTACATTAAGGCTTGATCCATGGTTAATTGAAATTAATTCCACAGACCTCAGAGGAAGTAGGATCAGACACTTAATTGCTGACATCACTATTTTTAGAAATGTTACAAGACCCAGTGGTGCTTAGGGAGCACAGGGGAGCACAAGGCTTTGTCTGACACAATGGGAGGAGAGGTCTAATGCCCTGCCAGCCATTACAGCTTTGAAGACTGGGAAGGACACTGGGGAGGTCCACAGGTGCTGCGAGGACCTATTCCTTCCAGAATGTGTGTTAAAGGTGGGAAAGTGCTCACCCAGTACTGTCTGATTTGCCTCCTGTCTCTGTGGAAACCCAGTTGTCCACAAAATAAAAGCAAAAAATAAGGGAAAAAAAGGATACTTGCATCAGCAAAGAAGAAGGATGTGTGGATTTCTAGAGGGAAAAGTAGGGTTTATATTTTTGAATGTCTTTTTCCCAAAGCTTGTCTTGATGTTTCTGCTTTTCCAAGGAGATGCATTTTATTCAGTGTGCCCTAAATGTGCTTTGCACATTGCAAGTTTTACACCCTGCACACAGCCAATGCACTCCCAGTTTTGTAAAGCTGTGAAGTAATGGCTGTTGCGGTGCGTGATGGGCATTTGGCCATATGGCTTGGGAGTTGTGAAACCCATAAAAAATGTTGCATCATTTCCACATTAAATAAAACTCCATTAGCACCGTGATAGATCTCTGAGGGTGGCTGTGCAAAAGCTGATCAGAGTTATACAATGCTGAGAGTGGCCCTCGGGAGCACCATTGGTAGTAGAGGGCAGTGCAGTTAGGAGATCCGGGCTCTTCATACAGTGCCCCTTCAGTTTGCGTCATAAATAAACCCCCCCTACGTGCAGTCATAATACCCAGTGGATAAATTGCTTTGTTTCTTCAGCCTCATAATAAATAGCTTTTCCTGCCTCTCAGATTGCAAAATCATTGATTGTTCTCTTATTAATTACCTTGCACTACACTCTTTATTCATGCTAACAAACATGAATTAGATGTGAAGAAAGATTATAAATTAAGAAAAAGTAAGTTTCCAGCTGTCTAATAAATGAGGGTAGTAGTATTTGTTACAAACCTTGAGAGAAACAAAAAGCTTGTCAGGCAATAGGTGTTCATGCATAGCTGAAAAATTATTATTCAGAGAAAACAACAGTTTGATCATTTTTCAGCTTTCTGAAGAGTATTTGAAAATGTGATTTATAAGACATAAGAAAAATAATACTAAAGTCTGTTGCAAGACAATGTAAAAATAAAATTTAAATTGGCTCTACTAAGGTGTATGATAAATACATTTTTTTTCATTTGTGGGTAAGCTGTAAAACCAACAAGTAGCTTTGCAACTGTGTGAGAGATCAGTAAGGTTACTGTGGTACTTACTGTAATTCATTCTTCATATCAATCTTGTACAGCACAGTGCAGTATTTGGGGTTTTTTTAGTTTGTTTTCATTTAAGTCAGAAGAGTTAGAGCAACATAAAGGAGCAGTAGTTCACGGGTAATTGAAGCATGTTCCTCCAATTTCTTCACTTGCAATGTCTTCACTTGCATAAGTACATATTCCATTAGCACCCCAGTGACAAGAGAGGAGATTGGAATGCTCAAAAGACTGTCTTGCCATTTCACTCCTTATCTCAGAGAGGTGCTTACAGATAGATGTCTGGGTACTTTTCTTTAGGGTCTGGAATTTTTCATAATTTTCAACTCTAAGAGTTACAGTTAGGTCTACATTTTTCACATTTTGACATGATGCCAAAGATGTTGCATGTTCTGAGAATGCTTTTCTGTATTGAGAAACAGGATGGAAGAAAACATTTGTTCTTGGAGAGCTCAGAACAGAGCTGCTTTGCTGTTAAGCAAAGCGAGTAGTTCTGAGTTTTGTTTTAGTGATGCTGACGAGTTAAGTGATTAAACTTGTGCTCCAGACCTTTCACCAGTTCTGTTGCCCTTCTCTGGACACACTCCAGCACCTCAATGTCTTTCTTGTAGTCAGAAGCCCAAAACTGAACACAGTGTTTGAAGTGTGGCCTCACCAGTGCCAAGTTCAGGAGGATGATCACTCCCCTGGTTCTGCAGGCCACAATATTGCTGATCCAGCCTGTCCAGATCCTTCTGCAGAGCCTTCCTACCTTCTAGCAGATTAGCACTCCCAGCCAACTTGGTGTCATCTGCAAACTGACTGAGGGTGCACTTGATCCCCTCATCCACATCATCAGTGAAGATATTAAACAGGACTGGCCCCAACACTGAACCTTGGGGAACACAGTTGTGACTGACAACCAGTGGGAATTCCATTTGCCATCCAGACATTTTT